TAGAGGGGCTGGGGGTGGGCTTCGAGTGGTCGAGGGGTGGGCTTCGAGTGGTAGAGGGGCTGGGGGTGGGCTTCGAGTGGTCGAGGGGCTGGGGGTGGGCTTCGAGTGGTCGAGGGGCTGGGGGTGGGCTTCGAGTGGTAGAGGGGCTGGGGGTGGGCTTCGAGTGGTAGAGGGGCTGGGGGTGGGCTTCGAGTGGTAGAGGGGCTGCGGGTGGGCTTCGAGTGGTAGAGCACCCGTCTAGCAAGCAGAAGGCCCAGAGTTAAATCTTCAGTATTGTCAAAAACAGTAAAAATAAAAAAGCAGTACAACAACCAAAGCCCCCCCCCCCCACTTTTTGCCGCTTATGTTTACTCAGCTTCTTCATTTGCTATCAGACATAACACCACTCCTGCCCAGCCCCTTTCCTTGGGGGAGGAGCAGGTGAGCTCTTGCGGTTCCAGCCCTCCACCCTGCCCAGAACTGGCACTTGCATTTCACTGTCTCTTGGTGGTGGACACAGCGGGCCCCACATTTGGAGAAGACTGGACAGAGTAGTTACTCAGGAAATGCAAGCCAGAACAGCTGGATCTGCACCAGTGGATCACACCTCTAATCCCAGCTACTCAGGATGCTGAGATCTAAGGATCGTGGCTTAAAGCCAGCCTGGGCAGGAAAGTCTGTGAGACTCTTACCTTCAGTTAAACACCAGAAAACCAGAAGTGGAGCTGTGGTTCAAGTGGTAGAGCGCTAACCTTGAGCAGAAAAGCTCAAGGACTGTGCCCAAGCCCTAAGTTCAAGCCCCAAGATCAGTACCAAAAAAACCCCAAATAGAACATCTGGATCTGTAGAGCTGTTGTCCTGGCTCTGAGTTGTCTGAGTTTGTGTGTGTGTGTGTGTGTGTGTGTGTGTGTGTGTGTGTGAAAGGCATTCATAAAGTGTGCGGCTACTGGACATGCTGAGTGTGGCGTTGTCTACAGAGTTCTGCTGGTACCAGGGCACGAGGGGCTAGGAGGGTTTTTGTGCTGGCCCCTCGGACTGCTGGGTGTGCAGAGTGGGGTGCATTGTGGAGAGGGCGGCAGGCCACAGGTCAGCCTGGCCACCCAGAAGCAGATCTGGCATCTGGGCGGGATGCTGTGCCCTTCTGCTTGGCAAAGAGCTCTGGCTCCTCTGTGGTACAGAGCACTGACCCCTCTGTCTCGGTGGTGTCTGTCTTTCTGCGCTGGCTCTGTCTGTCCCTCTGCCCTGGTGGCATCTGTCCCTCTGTCCCGACGGCATCTGTCTTTCTGCCCTGGTGGCATCTGTCCCTCTGTCCTGGCGCTGTCTGTCCCTCTGTCCCGGTGGTGTCTGTCCCTCTGCCCTGGCACTGTCTGTCCTTCTGTCCTGGCGCTGTCTGTCTCTCTGCCCTGGTGCTGTCTGTCCCTCTGCCCTGGCGGCGCCTGTTGCTCTGTTGGCCCTGGCACGTCCCTGCTGCTGCTTCTCTCCGGTCTCTCTCTGCAGCAGTGTTCTTCTTCCTCTGGTACCCCTGTGCCTTCGCATGGGCCGCATGTCTCTGCAGCAGTGCCCGTGTGACTCCTTATGCCTGGTTTCTGAGCATGCAACTTTGCATCAGAACCACACCAAACACACATTTTCTCCAAATGCCAAGTGGCCAGGTGACAGATGGCATCTCTTCAGTATCATTGGCTAGCCCTGTGGCCCTCTGGGATCCACACCTAGACCTCAGCAATTACCGTCAGCACCAGCTCACGATGCATGTAGCTGTTCCTAACTTCACCATGCCATGCTTGAGGCAGGAGGCGGAGCCTCGTGCCTGCCTGCCCTGCAGAGGGTGTGCTTCCGCCCATTGGCCAGCCAGCGTGCCTTGCTGCAGCAAGGCTGGGGCCAGCCCCGGCTGGGCCGCGGGTGGGGAGGGGGTACAGGTGCTGTGTACTGCAGCCACCAGCAGGTGTCGGGCAGCACAGACCCCTAGCTTCATCCAAAATGGAATTCATTTTTTATAATCTTAGGAAGTTTTCTAAGTAGGGAAGTTAAAAGACTGGACTTTTTTGTTCAAGAATATTCTTTTTCTGAAAACTTCTGAAAGCAAAGTTCATAGCTAATTGTGATTAAATGCCTTTAGCTTACATCGGACTTAAAGTTGGTTTTGTTTTATGTTAGAGTAGGGCGTGTGACAAACAGTTTCATAGAAAATAGAATTAGAATGTCATTTATTCTGTTTTCATGCTTGTGTTGTTTAAATTCTAAAAGCATTTGTGAGCTCAGAGGAGATAGAACGTTCATTCTAAAGTTATCTATCTATAATATTTATATTGACTGTCAATCTGCTCCCTATTATTAAGAGATTTTTAAATGTAAACTCAACAGTTCATACCAATTATGTGACAGTTTATTGCAATAGTGATAAATACTCATTAGTGCTTTATCAAACTGATAAAGAGTTTCAAAATATAAACCTTTTGATGAGAATTTTTTATAAAAAGTTGTAGATATTACATCTGGATTGCTTATGTAATTTTGAGGGTGAAATTTGACATTTTTTGCAACGAATCTCAGTGACATCTTTACACGCCTCATGTCATTACATATGTTATGCGTGACGTGAACCTTTGAGATCATGTGACTCCAGGGAAAACTACCAAGGCAAAGCTTCCAGCCCTGCCTCTGCCAAGCCTCGGGCCCGTCGCACCTTTGGTCAGCAACACCACGTGCTCAGTGCCACACATCCTTTGTGACACTGATGATGTCTTCACAGACAACATCAGCTTTTGCCATGTCTTTTGATGAGGTGAGGCGTGAGGCACTAACTTTGCATTAAGGGACTCTCTGGGCACGTCCATCCTCATCAGGGCATTCATCTAGTCATGTCCACTCTTGGCTTTTTAAAGAGGACTTAAGGTCAGACCACAGATGAGAGAGTGTTGCTCTGTCAGGGGCAGTGCTCTGAGGCTGTGTGGTGTGCGTAGCTCTGGAGGGGCTGAGAGGGACAGTGTTCCAGCACTTTCTTTCTCCCCTGGAGCCTTTCCATTTGTTTGAGGAGGTGTAGGGTTGAGAGGCCCTGGTCCGCCTGGGGGCTGGAGAAGCCCAGTCAGGGATGAGTCAGTTGGAGGAGCCAGTCCTTTGCCTCTCTTCCAGAAAGGTCAGACTGAAGATATTTCTTCCACAGCAGTGACGCTGTTGCCTGGGCTGCTTAGAGAGAGCAAATGAGCCAGCAGAAATGCACTTTCCCTTTCCTTGAGTGGAAAAAAATACAAAGAACTGCTTCTTACCTGATCTTCCCAACCCCACAGGGCCTACAGAATGCTGAGCTCAATTTGAATTTTAAGTAAACAATGAGGTTTTTTTTCTTGTTTAAGCACAAGTGTGCCCTGGGCCCAACCCTTTTTGGGGTGAACTCAAAATGAGGTTAAGTTGAGTTCAACCATTCATGAGCTTCGGTCTTCATCTTCCTCCTAGATGCTACAGGGGATGAGAATGCGATGCATAATGTACAGTCTACACATACAGCCCTGTGAGGACCTACATGCCCCCTAGACATGCACTGCTGCATGCGCACATCCAGAAACACACACACAGGCCTACCGCTGCACACGCACATGTCCACACACACATGCTTTCCAGAAACACACACACAGGCCTACCGCTGCACACGCACATGTCCACACACACATGCTT